GCCTGGGGAGCAGAAATGGATATTGCCACTGTTGAGGTAGAAAACAAAGATAACTCAGGACAAGAAAAAATAGCATGGGGACCCAGAAAAGGCAAAACTTCACGGTTGGACATTAAGGAAGCAGGATGCACTGGGGTTCCCATAAAGACAACACGTGTGCAGAAAAAGAGACTTCTTAATAAATATGGCTGAGTCTCAGCTGTGCTCCCAGATGAGGCCAGGCCCTCATCTTCTCACTCCAGGCGGGTCATCTGTGGATGCTAACAGCTTTTCTCCGTGGCAGAAGATAAGCCGCAGGGATTATTCCCTCTGTATATTTTGAAAGCAGATGGCCTGTTTTCACTAATCTAATTTTACATGTAAATGTACTGCTGCTTGGGACAATAATAAAAAAAAATGAATGATGACTTTAATCTCTCAGTTGTAACTGTGTTGCTTCAGAAATGGTTACATGATGCCTGGCATTACACGTCAACATGTCTTCCTCCCTTGTGATAAGGAGTGAAGCGAGCAGAGCTGAGAATAGGGCCTTGAAAATAATATATATATATATATATATATATATATATATATATATATATAAATCCACTATATTCTGCTTTAAAAATTATGTCAGATGCTGGAGAGTTGGCACAGAAGTTAACAGCACTGGCTGCTCTTACAGAAGACCTGGGCTCAGTTTTTAGCACTCACACATATGCTCACAAGCATCTGTGAATCCAGTTCAGAAGATAAAACATCCTCTTCTGGACTCCATAGGTACCAGGAAACACACAGCATAGAGATATACATCCCAGGAAAACACTCATACACACAAAATAGAAATTTAAAATATTTAAAATTAAAAAGAATTTGGATCTTGCTTCTCGTCTTGATTCTCCTTGAATCTGTGGCCTCAGAAAGATGACTGTCCTCTGTTGCTTTCAGAGTCCCTGCTTATAAAGTGTAAGCAGTGAGCTTCCCTGTTTGGGAAACAGAAAAACAGATTAGGGATGTGAGAAGCATGATGAGTAACCCAATGGAAAAAGTATGGATGCCTCTGGGAAGGGGTCACTAGAAAGGAACCTTAGAGAGCTTCTCCAAGGATGGAAATGGCATGCACTAGAGTACGGATGGAACTCTAGTACATTTGATAAGGGTTTGAATATCATTGAGTCCAGAAAGTGAACACACCACATATACACAGCTAACAAAAAGAAACTGAACTTGCATTGATGATATGTGTGCCAAAGCATTTGGAGGCAAAACAGATTGACTTCTGCAATCCTAAACAGACAGGATACAGAAGGAAGAGATACAGAAGGAAGCAACAGAGAGAAGTGCAAACTGTGGAGTACAGGTAACTAGGATACAGGACTCTGAAATCAATAAAGTACAAGCAAAGGAAACAATACAAAGAATCAAGGTAACAAAGAGTTGGTTCTTCGAAGAAATCAACAAGATAGACAAACCTTTATCCAAGCTAACCAAAAGGCAGAGAGAGAACATGCAAATTAACAAAATCAGAAATGAAAAGGGGGAAATAAAAACGGACACTGAAGAAATCCAGACAATCTTCAGGTCATACTTTGAAAACCTGTACTCCACAATATTTGAAATTTTAAGGAAATGAACAATTTTCTGGATAGACATCACTTACCAAAATTAACAAGAACAGATAAGCAATTTAAATGGACCTATAGCCCCTAATGAAATAGAGGCAGTCATCAAAAGTCTCCCAACCAAAAAAAGCACAGGGCCAGATGGCTTCAGTGCAGAATTCTACCAGAAATTCAAAGAAGCAATAATACCAATTCTCCTCAAAGTGTTCCACACAAAAGAAGCAGAAGGTTAGTTGCCAAACTCTTTTTACCAGGTTACAATTACCTTGGTACCCAAGCCACACAAAGACACAACTAAGAAAGAGAACTACAGACCAATCTCCCTCATGAACATTTATGCAAAAATACTCAACAAAATACTGGCATATCGAATCCAAGAACAAATCAGAGAAATCATCCAACACGATCAAGTAGGCTTAATCCCAGGGATGCAGGGATGGTTCATTAATCCCAGGGATGCAGGGATGGTTCAACATACAAAAATCCATCAATGAAATCCTCCATATAAACAAACCGCAAAAGAAAAACCACATGATCATCTCACTAGGTGCTGAAAAAGCCTTTGACAAAATCCAACACCCCTTCATGATAAAGGTCCTAGAAAGATCAGGGATAACAGGATCATACCTGAACATAATAAAAAAAAATAAACAGTAAACCAACATCCAACATCAAACTAAATGGGAGAGAAACTTCAACGTGATTCCTCTAAAATCAGGAACAAGTCAAGGCTTCCCACTCTCTCCATATCTCTTCAATATTATAAGTTCTAGCTAGAGGAATAAGACAACAAAGGAGATCAAAGGGACATAAATTGGAAAGAAAGAAGTCAAACTTTCACAATTTGCAAATGATATGATAGTTTACATAAGTGAACTGAAAAACTCTACCAGGGAACTCCTACAGCTGATAAACACCTTCAGCAAAGTGGCAGGATACAAGCTTAACTCAAAACAATAAGTAGCCCTACTATATACAGACAATAAATGAGCAGAGAAAGAAATCAGAGAAACATCACCCTTTACAATAGCCACAAACAACATAAAATATCTTGGGGTAACTCTAACCAAACATGTGAAAGACCTGTATGACAAGAACTTTGAGTCTTTAAAGAAATAAATTAAAGAAGATACCAGAAAATGGAAAGATCTCCCATGCTCTTGGATAGGTAGGTTCAACATAGTAAAAATGGCAATCTTAACAAAAGGAATCTACAGATTCAATGCAATCCCCATCAAAATCCCAGCACAATTCTTCACAGACCTTGAAAGAACAATAATCAACTTTATATGGAAAAAGAAAAGAACCAGGATAGCCAAAACATCAGTAAAGGAACTTCTGGAGGCATCACCATCCCTGACTTCAAGCTCTATTACAGAGCTATAGTCCTGAAAACAGCTTGGTATTGGCACAAAAATAGACAGGTAGACCAATGGAATCAAATTGAAAACCTTGATATTAACCCACACACACCTATAAACACCTGATTTTTGACAAAAAGCTGAAATTATACAATGGAAAAAGGAAAGCATCTTCAACAAATGGTGCTGGCACAACTGGATGCTGGCATGTAGACAACTACAGGTAGATCCATATTTATTGCCATACATAAATTTTAAGTCCAAATGGATCAAAGAACTCAATATAAATCCAGCCATGCTGAACCTCTTAAAAGAGAGAGATGGAAGTACCCTTGAATTAATTGGTACAGGAGACTGCTTCCTGAACATAATGCCAGTAGCACAGGCACTGAGATCCACAATTAATAAATGGGACCTCCTAAAACTGAGAAGCTTCTATAAGGCAAAGGACACAGTCAGCAAGACAAAACAGAATGGGAAAAGATATGCACCAACCCCACATCTGACAGAGGGCTGATCTCCAAAATTTACAAAGAACTCAAGAAGCTAGTCACCAAAACACCAAATAATCCAATCAAAAAGTGGGGTACAGAACTAAATAGAGAATTCTCAATAGAGGAGTCTAAAATGGCTGATAGACACTTAAGAAAGTACTCAACATCCTTAGCCATCGGGGAAATACAAATCAAAACAACTCTGAGATACCATCTTACTCCTGTCAGAATGGCTAAAATCAAAAACACCAATGACAGATTATGCTGGAGAGGATGTGGAGAAAGGTGAACACTCCTCCAATGCTGGTGGGAGTGCCAACTTGTACAGCCACTTGGAAATCAATATGGCGACTACTCAAGAAAATGGGAATGAATCTACCACAAGATCCAGAAATTCTACTCTTAGGCATATACACAAAGGATGTACATTCATACAACAAGGACATCTGTTCAACTATATTCACAGCAGCATTATTTGTAATAGCCAGAACCTGGAAGCAACCTAGATTCCCCTCAACTGACGAATGGATAGAGAAAATGTGTACATTTACACAATGGAGTACTACTTAGCGGGGGAAAAAAAACAATGGAATCTTGAAATTTGCAGGCAAATGGATGGAACTAGAAGAAACCGTCCTGAGCAAGGTAACCCAGTCACAAAAAGACAAACATGGTATGTACTCACTCATATATGGATTTTAGACATAGAGCAAAGGATTGCCAGCCTACAATTCACACAGCCAGAGAAGCTAGGAAACAAGGAGGACCCGAAGAGAGACATACATGTTCCCCTGGAGAAGGGAAAAAGGACAAGATCACCTGAGCAAACTGGGAGCATGGCAGGAGGGGAGAGGGAGCTAGGAGAAAGAGAAGGGGAGAAGAAGAGGGGAGAGGAGGACATGAGGGAGCAGGAGGTTGATTCGGGAGAATAGAGGAGAGCGAGACAACAGATACCATAACAGAGGGAGGAGACCTAATAGGTTTAAAGAGAAATCTGACACTAGGGAAATGTCCAGAGATCCACAAGGATGACACCAACTAACAATCTAATTTAAATTTAAAAAAAATAGAAAAAAAGAAAAAAACTGACAGTTGTTGCTCTTTGTAGACTGACCATGCTATAGATGACAGTCACACATCCAAGAATATATGACAGCATAGATTGGACTTAATGAATTTTTTACCAAAAAGACAAATTGGATGGGTATGAAGGTGGGGTGGATCTAGGAAGGGTTTGGGTAAATATAATGGAATACACTGCACAAAACTAGAGTTTAAAAAAATGCTATTTTTAAAAGTTTTGTCACCTAGATTACAGTTTTCTTTCATTCATCAATGCCAACAAATTCCTTCAAGGATCAGTCAAAGCCCATAACCAACTTTCTTAAATTCCAAGCACCAGGTGAAGAACCTGGCACCAAGGGACACTGAAGAGAGCAGCACTAGACTTTCTGGTGACTCAGCCACACTTTGGGTAGCCAGCATTAGCTCTCTACAACATGTTGTCTGTTACTGAGCACACAGATGGTCCCCATGCCACCTACCCTTGGTGGTGAGAAGCTTGGAGGTGACTTCCAGCTGCTCCAGGGGCTCTAGTCCAATGTTCTCCAAGGTAATAACCAGCTGCTGAGTTTCTCCATTGTAAAGCTGGACAGACACGTTGGTTGTTATTTCATCACCAGAAGAAGGCTGCAATGAATGTGCAGACCTAAAATCACAGAAATGACAGGAAGAAAAATAAGGGAAAAAGAAGGGAACACATTAAGGGAACACTACCAGCCACACATTAAGACCATTCACAGAGGAACACACTTGAGAAGAGACTAGACACCCTGGCTGTGTACATAGGGTTTGGTGCTCAATTCTCTCTCTCTCTCTCTCTCTCTCTCTCTCTCTCTCTCTCTCTCTCTCTCTCTCTCTCTCTTTCTCTCTCTCTCTCTCTCTCTCTCTCTCTCTACACACACACACACACACAACTGCGGTGTTACAGAGTGATAGAAGTAGATGGAAAGTGAGGCTCCAGGCTCCAAGTGGTCTAACCCTGCCTCCACTCTGAGCTCACATGGGGTGAGGCCATCAAGGGCAGGCATCTTTTACTGTTTGCCATTCAGTATCACACAGGTGGAGAGCATGCAGGAGCAGCCAACAGCTATAAGTGATTTCCACGATTAAGTCCTTCTCCTATGTTTACAACATATTACAGTGTAGACCCACTTGAATAACCATTTTTTAATGCAGAAAATTACCTCAGAAAAATTAAGATGTACACATTTTTAAAAAGTAGATGTTAACTTTGAGTCATTCCCATAGGAATCTCTCCCCCAGTCCCTCTTCTGCTCTGTGCTCCTAGCTCCCTATGAGCAGGCTGCCCAGGTCTTCCCCCTGGGATCTCAGAGACAACAGAGAGCACTGTGTGCTTTATTGAACACTATAGGATGCTAAAACAAAGTAGTGAGGCAGATGCCATCCCATGAAGCTATAATAAAATTCAAGAAAACTAAGGTTGCTCTTGAGATGGCTGGAGGAACACCTGGAGTATCAAGTCCTTCCCTCCTTGTGTGATGGCAGAAGTGAGCTTTGAGATGGCCAAACTGGTGGGCAGGTGACACAGGGCCTTTCCCCCAGCAGGCTCATCCTCCCTGGTAACAAATCTTTTATTGGTTTCCCCTAGGACCTGTCCCATCCTTCTCCTGGACTGAACACGAAGGGCCTCCAAGGTGGGGGAGGTACCTGTCCACTTTTCTCTGTGGCTATAAAGTGGTCAGGGGACAAGCTGAAGCCTGTGTCACTCCTAATCCAGTTCCCTCCAGGTTCCTAGGAACTACTAAGAACAGTGGGGACTACGGCAAGGCCTTTGAGCTGTCAGCTGAAAGCACCCACAGGAAAAAGGACAGAACACCTTTTGAAAGCTGAGGTAAGGTGTCCATACTACACCACCACCAAACCAAAAGGATCTGGCTGCCCCTCTGAACCAAGCGTAACTAAACTGTTCACCTGCTTTTTTTTTTTTTTTTTGCAGATTTTTTATTTGAATTAGAAACATTATTTTACATGACAATCCCAGTTCCCTCTCCCTCCCCACCTCCCCTGCCACCACCACCCCCAACTAAAACCCTACCTATCACATATCCTTTCTGCTCCCCCTGGATGGTGAGGCCTTCCATAGGGTGTCATCCTATCCTTTGGGATAGGGACTAGGCCCACCCCTGTGTGTCTTGGCTCAGGGAGTATTCCTCTATGTGGAATGGGCTCCCAGAGTCCACACCTATGCTAGGGATAAATACTGAACTACTACAGGAGATCCCGTAGATTTCCAAGGTTTCCTCACTGAAACCCATGTTCTTGGGGTCTGGATCAGTCCCATGCTGGTATCCCAGCTATCAGTCTGGGGACCAAGAGCTCCCCGATATTCGGGTCAGCTGTTTCTGTGGGTTTCACCAGCCTGGTCTGGACCCCTTTGCTCTTCACTCATCCTTCTCTGCAACTGGATTTTACTCACCTGATTTTTAATCTATGAGCAGTTTAGGAAACTTGCAGAGTTAAGCCAACTCCACTGAGACCCCATTTTAAACATCTCCATCTTCCTCTTCGTGTAATCCATAAGACCAAACTATGCTCATCCCTGCTGCCACTGGTAGATTCTCTCCACAGGCCTGAGTGTCTTTTCCAAATAGTCCAGAGAAGAGGAGTCAGACACTATAACTATGGCTTCTCTCCCTCGGCATGGTGTTTCGGAGGTACATCTATGGCAAAGCAGTATCAGGAGCTGACTCATTTTTACTGCTGAGAGAGCAGTGCTCCACGGTCCAATTGTGATAGACATGTAAGTCCTTGCCACTATGTAACTATCAGGTACAAGTTTTGGCAGCAGTGTATCATCTCTCTCATCTCTGGTAGATACCTAAGAGAGGACTAGGTCAGTCATTAAACTCATGTTTGATCTTTTAAAAGACTGCCCAACTATCCTCCCAATGGCACACTACTTTACATCCCATCAGCAGCCCATGAGGCTCTAGCTTCTGCAATCTCTTACCAGCCTGGCTGTTGCCTGTCTTCTGATCATAGCCACTACAGTGGGTGTGAGCTGCCACCTCTGGTAGGGGTGGGGGCAGCACCAAAGAGACTAAGCGTTCCAAGTACCCTTCCAGGTTGCTACATTGTGTCCTTTGTGCTGAGAGAATTATTCAGATCGCTGGCCAGTTTTTTAATTGGGTTGTTTGTCTTCTTCATACTGAGTTTTTAAAGTTCTTTATATGAATACAGCTCTAGCAGATCTGTGCTGGGCAGACTTTCTTCCAACCCATGAATTGTCTTTTAATTTACCTAATGCATCTTTGGAAGAACAACTGTCTTTTCACTGTGATGTGGTCCCAGTTGTCAAGGCTTTATCTTATGGATCCTAACCCAAGATCAAGAGTCTGTCTTCTAAAAATGTGGATCTTCCAGCTCCTGCAGTCAGATCAGTGGTCCCTTTTGAATTAGCTTTTTCTATTTTATTTCCCCCTGCACCCACCCCTCTCTTCCACCTGCACTCCCTCCATAGCCAGCTGCTCACATGCCCATGGCACACCTGCTGCCTCCTCCTTGCCTATCTTGTAGCTTCAGATGGTCGGGGTGAAGGCTGCCTGTCATTCTCTCCCATTTGACAAGCACAGGGCCAGGACAGCCACATTCACTGGCATAGCCTTGCCATGAAGAACACTGCTAGGCAAGTGAAAAGGATCTACCAAATCGTTGGGGAAATTCCAAGACACGTTTTATAACTGCGGCACTGGATATTCACCACTATTTACAGGAGCCAACAAACAACTGGCTGTGGGATTCTGAGGTATCTGAGATGCGCATTTTTAAATCACTTAAAATTACAATTTTTACACCTGTGCTCTAGCCCCGCCCAGTAAGTGTTACTCCCACCCTCATCAAAGAAGCTTCTTCTGCAGCAGATAGGATCATTACAGAAAGCCACAGCTGTTAAAAGTGCAGAGAACACCGACACCCTCGATATATCTACAACACAACCTCTATACCAAGGGCTCAAGAAATAGCTTGGAAGAAGGGGTGGTGATGTCTCCAGAAGTTCCTTTATTGTACAGGGTTGTTTCAGCTATCCTGGGTTTTTTGTTTGTCCATATAAAATTGAGTGTTATTCTTTCAAGGTCTGTAAAGAATTGTGCTAGGATTTTGATGGGGATTGCATTGAATCTGTAGATTGCTTTTGGTAAGATTGCCATTTTTACTATGTTGATCCTACCTATCCAAGAGCATGGGAGATCTTTTCATTTTCTGATATCTTCTTTATTTCTTTAAAGACTCAAAGTTCTTGTTATACAGGTCTTTCACTTGTTTGGTTAGAGTTACCCCAAGATATTTTATGTTGTTTGTGGCTATTGTAAAGGGTGATGTTTCTCTGATTTCTTTCTCTGCTCATTTATTGTCTGTATATAGTAGGGTTACTTATTGTTTTGAGTTAAGCTTGTATCCTGCCACTTTGCTGAAGGTGTTTATCAGCTGTAGGAGTTCCCTAGTAGAGTTTTTTGGTTCACTTATGTAAACTATCATATCATCTGCAAATTGTGAAAGTTTGACTTCTTTCCAATTTGTATCTCCTTGATCTCCTTTTGTTGTCTCACTGCTCTAGCTAGAACTTCAAGTATAAATATTGAAGAGATATAGAGTGGACAGCCTTTTCTTGTTCCTGATTTTACAGGAAACACATTGAGTTTCTCTCCCTTTAGTTTAATGCTGGCTGTTGGCTTGCTGTATATTGCCTTTATTAGTTTAGGTACATTCGCTCCTGTTATCCCTGATCTCTCTAGGGCCTTTATCATGAAGCGGTGTTGGGTTTTGTCAAAGGCTTTTTCAGCACCTAGTGAGATGATCATGTGGTTTTTCTTTTGCAGTTTGTTTATATGGTGGATTCCATTAATGGATTTTTGTTTGTTGAACCATCCCTGCATCCCTGGGATGAAGCCTACTTGATCATGGTGGATGATTTTCTGATGTGTTCTTGGACTCAATTTGCCAGTATTTTATTGATTATTTTTGCATCAATGTTCATGAGGGAGATTGGTCTATAGTTCTCTTAGTTGTGTCTTTGTGTGGTTTGGGTACCAAGGTAGTTGTAGCCTTGTAAAAAAAAAGTTTGGCAATGACCTTCTGCTTCTATTGTGTGGAACAATGTGAGGAGTATTGGTATTATTGCTTCTTTGAATTTCTGGTAGAATTCTGCACTGAAACCATCTGGCCCTAGGCTTTTTTTGGTTGGGAGACTTTTGATGACTGCTTCTATTTCATTAGGGGTTATAGGTCTATTTAAATTGCTTATCTGTTCTTGATTTAATTTTGGTAGGTGATATCTATCCAAGAAAATGTCCATTTCCAAAAAAGGGGAGGGAAAAATTGCAAGCGCTACAGGACCAAAAAGTCTGCTGTGAGGTCCTATCTTCCATATATGATGGGAATGCTGACACTCTTGAAACCTGAACAATGACACTAGCTGACATACCAAAGTAGGATAGGGGAAATCTCACTGGGCCCCACCACTAGATAAGGAGCTATAAGCAATTAATGATTGCTGATAGAGGGAGAATTAGTCTTCCCCAGGGATGAGCCCCAATTGGTTATTCAATACTAAGTGACCAGTGCTAAAAACAGACACTTTCAGAATATTGTATTTGTGTGTGTGTGTGTGTGTGTGTGTGTGTGTGTAAAATACAAAGAAAAAGAAGCCATTAATTTGGGGTCAGGGAATGAGACATAGGAGGGATTAGAAGGAGGACAGGGAAGAGGAGAAACGGTAAACCATTTTAACTTAAAATTTTAAATTACATTGTTTAAAGAATTTGTAATTTGTAATGCAGAAAGAAAGCTTTTGTTACATATGTGGTTACAAAACAGAAAATACCACTATATATAATGCAGTGTGTTCTAACTATTCATGGATAGGGGTTACTTTGTATATAAGCAGAAGCTACTCCTTCCAACCCCAGAATGTATTTTTTAAAAAGAGGCTGACTAAGAACTGCAAAGCAAGACCACAAAGCCCTGAGCAGCTGCTCTGGCCTCCTAGGCTTGCTTCTTTTCATGCTTTCCCTCGAATGTTACTAAATAAATAAATAAATAAATAAATAAACAGCTTTTTCACTTAAGAAAACCATTTTTTAACAATCATAAGAATCCCCCACCCTCACCACTGTGTGTGGGGTGGGGGTGGGGGGTTGTTGTTGCAGGCATATGGAGAACAGACCCAGAAGTCAACATCAGATGTCTTCCTCCATCTCAGTATACCTTATTGATTTGTTTTTGTCTGTTTTTGATTTTTAAATACAGGGCTCTTGGTGAATGTGGAGCTTGCCATTTCAGCTAGGCCGACTATCAGTGAACAACACCTAGGATCTTATCTCTGTCTGGTGCCCTGGTCTTATAGGTATGTGCCTCTAGGCCTGGCTTTTTACAGTGGTGCTGGGAATCCCTCATGTGAGTGCACAGCAAGCATTTTACCCCCTGAGCCTTCTCCCTAGGCCCCAAGAGTTTTTCTTAAACAGCCATAAAACCTTACATGTTTTTTGGGATTCCAATTCTAACAGCTAATTGTGCCTTAGCTATGATGAGAAAGGGCTCAACTGCATTCTTACATATTTGCAGAAACCATATTAACCCTTTGGCCCCTTAAGGTTCTTCTGCCATATTTTCTGCCTTATCCAAGTTAGATGAACCCCAACCCTTTATGCTATTTTTAAGAAATGCATAACCACTCCTTTTTTTTTTTTTTTTTTTGATTTTTCAAGACAGGGTTTCTCTATATAGCTTTGGAGCCTATCCTGGCACTCACTCTGGAGACCAGGCTGGCCTCGAACTCACAGAGATCCCCCTGCCTCTGCCTCCCAAGTGCTGGGTAACCACTCTTTCTAAGACCCATTCCTTCCGGTCACAAACCCCTGCACCCTCAGGCCCCCTACCTTGGCAGTGATGTGCTAATCTGCAGTCTTGGCAAAGCAGGAATGACTTCCACCGTGGAGCCACTGGTTTTCACTCCTGGGAGGTTGTCTAGCAGGCAGTCGCTGAAGACCCCAAAGACTGTGGTGTGATAACCTGCAACACAGGCAGCAAGTTCACACCTCTTGGCAAGGCTTTGCAACATATACCCCTAATAACATTACAGAGACCACAAAGAGAATGCCAACCCCCCCCAACACCCAAGCTCCCCATACCACTCCCTATACCCCAAAGACCCTGGCTGTTCTTGGATATAATGAAGCTGACAACACCATCTGTGCCCTATTTCCCACAGTGGGCCAGGTCCTTAAAAGAGCCCTCCCCATGTACTTCCAACCCTTAGAGCTTAGCAATCACCAGCTCAGCTCTTTGCTAATAAACCTTTCAAACATAGCATCTCTAACCTGATAATGACAGTTAATCTTCCTTTCCAAGGCATGATGTGACTTCACAAGCATTTGAAAAATACTTTAGAACCCTCTGTTGAGAGATGAAGGTTCGAAAGCCAACTATTGTCATTACAGCTGCTTCACAATGTGTCAACTCAACCATGTGTGTGCAAGGACCACAGTTTAAGATCAGCACAGGGCCCGTGCAAAAGGAAAAGGCTTGTGAGCTAGATAAGCACTTGAAATTGTTTAAGCAAAGCTTTAAAATGGCCTTTGAAGCTGGGCGTTGGTGGCGCCCAGCAATCGGGAGGCAGAGGCAGGCTGATCTCTGAAATTTCAAAAGATGATTCTGTAAATAGTATTTGCTGTGTGGCAAATGTAAACGGTGGCCAGCAGCTAGATTGGTAACTTTTCTGTATTATATGTCATAGTGGGGCAATGAAGTTATTCCCTAGGGAGGAGCCATTCTCCTTCCCCATAGCAGCACTCACTCTGTGGCTGGAGCAGCACTAGCCACCTCTTTCCAGACACTGTAGCCACACCCATTCCCTGGCCCAGTCACACCCCTCAACACAGCAACTACACATACACCCTGCTACAGCAGCCTCCATACACCCTCCCCAACACAACGCCACCCCTTCTCACCCTGAGCTTCTCAAAGTCTTCTTTCTATGCTGTTTATCTTACACTCAGGAGTCCCCTCTGACACTATAATACCTGCAGGCCCTCCTCTGTGTAAAACCTGATATGATTCTATGAAGCCCTCCTTACTTCATAATTCTTAGTTAAAAATCAGTTTCCTTTGCCTAAGACATAGCCAGTGCTTAAAACCATGGCCACATAAACTCTCACCCAGTGACAATGTTTAGTGCAGATGAGGATGATATATGCTAACCCAGGCAGCTAAGGCTCACCAAAAGTAAGTGCTGATGCCATGGAAAACTAAGGTCTGCTCCAGGTTCTCACACTTGCTGAGACACACTAGCTTCTGTCTTGTCCCTGGACAAGCCAGTCATGCCTGACTTCCCATCATGGTCACAATTCCGCCTGTGTCCTTCCTACCTGGACTCTCTGGGGACAGACATTAGATCTTTGAAGCCCTAGCCCACAGCCTGTGGTCTGGTGGCTCTGAAGCCTGTCTGACCAGCCTCCTCTCTGTATAAACACAGCGGCTCCCCTAAAATCCCAGGGGACAATGGATGAATTTGAGGATGTTTCTCAAGGATCCCATGATGCCCATTTCCTTCCAGCCCCATCACTACCTGCCCTCACCCTAACTACCTCCCTCTGGCCACCCTACTCCCCAGAAATGCCAGGTCTCAAACAGACAACCTTGGAGAAGCTGTGCTCGCTGACTGGAGTCTCTGCCTATACATTTCTTCTGTTCTGTTTGAAACATAAGGGTCATCTGCCAGGGCAGCCTCTGATGTCCACCTCTCTGCTGGGTCACTTAGTTCTCACATGTGCATCTCCACCCATCCATCTTAGTTAGCACTAGCTGAGATACACCTAATTGTCCAGCAGGCAACGTCTTTCCCAGGCAACACATACGTGCTGATGCTGTTGAGCTATGGTCAAGACTGCCAAGGCTAAGAAAGAAGCCACCCCTGGTGTCATAGAAAATAAGGTATCCAGAGTCTCGTGGGAAGATCATGGGGACACTGTGAGCGAACAAATCAAGATAGTCGGCTAAGGAAGAATGGTAAGGTTCAGGGGGCAGGTATGCTGTGAGTACCATCAAGAACCTTATGACATTCAAGTGAAACCTTCTAAGAAAGGAGGACAAGGACACTGGGTTGGGGTGGTCTAGGGCTCAGGAATGTGCCTTGAAACAAGACAGGACAAAGGGTAAGGCTTTTGACCAACTGATGGGAGGATAAGGACTTCAGTATGGAAGGTAGGCCCATCAGCAAGTATGCTGGAAGTCCTCATGATCTGTGATAAACCCTGTGAGACAGTCATGATCTGACAGACAGAAAACAGCCATGCAGGTGACAGGAAGTAGTGTCTCATACAGAATTAACAGTGAGGTCTAGGAGCTGCTTAGGGCAAATGGCCCATAAAGACATGTCATTGAGATGGGAGCCACTAAGAGAAAGGCCACTTTAGGGAGGAGAGGTGGGGTTCCTAGGGCAAGATGGTGTATATAAAGAGCCCATGGGACATCTGAGGAAATGGCAAGCAAGGGAGACCATAAGCATGCATGGCAGGACTGACGGCAGGAAAAAGTCCCCAGGCTTGGTAGAGTTAAGAAGCAAGAAGAGGAAAGGGAGAAAAACAAGAAAGGAGGAGGTGAAGAGTCCAGGAAAAGGGCTTGCCATGCAAGCCTGATGGCCTGAGTTCAATACAAAGCACACATAAAGGAATTAGGAAAGAACCATACATATATGCCACCCCCATACACATGTACACATCATGCAAATGCACATAATATTTTTTTAAAAGAAACTAAGAAGAAAGGAGAACCAGGGACAAGGAGAGGGCAGGGGAAGCGGGGTAAGATAATGGAGGAAGGAGGGAATGGAACTGAGAAACCCTCAGGGCAGGGCATCAGGAATACAGCCTATAGAAATCAAGAGACCAAACAAGACCAAAGAGGAGGCACCATACCAAGGCTGACCTCTGTAGAAGGAAATTGATTAGTAAAAGACTAAACAGCAGGCCCAGCTTCCACCAGAACAGCACTGCTCCTGACCCTGGTGACAAGAGTTTTGGTAAATGTCAAGAGCTGGACGGTGAGCGTAAGTCATCAAGACATCACTGACAATATGGAGGTGAAGTGTACATGGGCACACAACGCTCTGAAAGGGGGTCCAGCAGTGCTGGAGGGGGTGTGGTGACACTGAGAGAAGCTGAGTTCGTACTGTCCCAGGGGAGAATGGCATGAAGGAGAAAAGCCAGAGGGAAGCCAGACAAGCCAAGGCACAGGATGGACCCTGCCCCCACAGTAGCACAGGAGCTACCCAGCCCTAGCACACCACATATCAAAACCAGTTTGGGGTTTTTTTCAACATGTCACTTTGGAAATAAATGCTATATTGTCGTTAGCTGGTTATGATCACAGGTCAGGTGACCAGCTCCAGGAGCAGTGATGCAGAAACCACCAAGGAATTCTCCTTACCATTCACAGTGATCATCCCTGTAGTCTGTGGGACCCCGACCAGTGTGACTGGGTACAAACCGGATTCTGCAGGAAGGGAAAGTGCTGCAGGAAGAGACTCAAACTCCACTCCACTGGTGAGGAGGCCCTGCAGGAGGTGAAGGAACACTGAGGAGGCACAGCACAGACCCATGCTGCACAGCCACTTCCTAATGAGCTCTTTGACATTCACCACAGGAACTGTGGGAATGAAAAGGCCAGCAGCTTTTCAAAACCCACAGAGAACTTCAAGGGAGACTAGTAAGAGCTGGACACCAGAGCAGGGTGGCCAGCAAAAACTCCAGCTGGGGTTAAGCTGTGTGTATTATCAAAAGATTCTTTGTTTTGCTGTTTCGAAAATGAGAATGTGGACCCAAAGAAAAATAAATTGCTTTCCAAACACAAAAGAAAAACATACAGTGTGGAGTTGATTTCTCTCCAGGGCATCTATTAATTATTTGCTCATCTCAGTGTAGAACAGGCACTGAGCATACTAGTGAACTACATGAGTCCCCGGCCTCAAGAAGCTGCTCCTTGACAGGCTGTAAAACACAGACATCAGTTCTCAGGAGGTTCTAGTCTGTGCAACATGACCATCTATTCACAAAAGCAAAGTCATGATCATTGTCACCCCTTGGAATGCATGTTGAACCCTGAATGAGCAAGTATGGTCTGCAAAGAGGCAACGGCTGAACAGCACAGGCATTATTATGATCTAGAAGGGAAAAAACACACACACACACACACAAAAAAAAAAAAAAAAAAAAAAAAAAAGGGCATTATTATGATCTAGAAGGGAAAAAACACACACACACACACAAAAAAAAAAAAAAAAGAAAAAAGAAAATACTAGAAAATGAAAAGGAGAAATACCATTAACAAAGGTCACAAACATTTTGAAGTAAATTCACCACACACATGTGCAAGACTTCATGGCAGCTACAGAAACACAACCAGAACAAAGAGGACCTCATCAGGAGAAGAATTCCATGATTGTCCCAAATGGGATGGTTTTCCACAGTGCAATGGTCAAAACAGTAGGAACTTATCTTGGAAACAGGGGTGTGTACAGGGGCCTTGCTTGGTTCCCACATGAAGAGACTATATAAATCCCTTCCCCAGACAATCCAAGTTGGTGAGCTGTTCTGAGGGAAATGACTATAGAGTGAGTGACACCTTCCACAGAGTTCCAAATCAGAACAGCAGGGTCATGGCCATGCAGTATAAACATTGTTTTCTCACTTAAACCATGACCTGTACCAATTCTTGGGCCCTGACCTCCAGATGACTATTTCAAATTCATGTTCAATCAATTAAGATCAGTGTGTGCATAAATTGAAAGCTTGCTTGTAGATGCTCACACTACTGGGTGCCAAGATACTGAAATAATGAAGTGTGGCCTCCCCACACAGGAAGCTCACAGACCTTAGCTAAATGGGTGTAAAATCAGTGGGTGTATATATCCAACATTAAGCAAAAAGGTTTTTTCAATGGACAATAGGTTTTAGGTCAAATGATGGGTGGCACATACCATGTTTTCCACACGGAGCTCAAACGGCATTGGGTTGTACACCATCAGCTGAACTTCACACACATCTCCTTGAACCCACTGGAAGTCTACAAAACACATACAGAAGATTTCCAGGGTAAGTTTTGGTACCACTGTTATTCTCAGTTTGTTCCTCTGTCAATTTATCTGTCTAGCACCATGCACAAAACTGCCCCCAATGGTCTCTGAATGGCTCCCACTTGAGGTACATTGTTTTACTTGATCCAGAATGGCCCTGAGTCCATTTCTAAAGTTCCCACTCTACAGGTACTACAACTGAAGCTTAGGGTGGCACTATCAGTATCTGAGGTCACATGATAGGAAGTTAAGAGCTGTGGGGCCAACTATAGTCACAGCCAAAATGGCCCCTGATGGCCTTGGCCTATCCAGGCCATTACTTTGTTCCTGGGACAGCTGCTGACATTAGCAGCTGACAAGGCCTCACAAGGACATGAAGTCCTATCACAAATGACATGGAAATCCAGCAAGGTGTGATGGCTCTCATTCAAAACATCAACCCTCAAAGGTGCTGAAGCAGGAGCATTTAGAGTGAAGACAGGGTAGAAGACAGAAGACCCTGTTTCAAAACAAAGAAATCAGGAGACTCTGAACCCTGGCATACCCCAGCCCAGCAGCTGGGTTGTCCTGCTTCCTCACTTGGCTCTTCCAGAAGCACTTTGTGGCCATCATATTGGAACACTGGTAAGGTGCTTTGGGTTTTTTTCCCCCTAAAGAGCTGATTAGGAAAAGTATTACCCCATTTGTTGAGATGAAAATGTCAGAAGGGAGTTAAGGAAGCTAGAGTGGATTTCTCTTCTGTGGGGTGGGAATGCCAGGTCAGATGAAAATGTGGAACCATCTACCCAGGGATGAGAAAGACTCTGGTGACAGCTACAGAGCTTAAGCGAACATAGTGACACCCAGCACAGGGCACAGCACTACTGGTAGTCCAGGCTGTACATCCTAGAATCTAGTCCAGCTGCATTTCCCTGCTTCAGTCGTAAGAAGCTGTTGAAGCTTCTTTTTATGAAAACAGTCTGTGTTTTCAGAAGAGACCAAGGCAAACAGTGTCTAGCCAGCAGGCTTGTCAAAACTACATGCGGCCCAACCTGACATCATAAGCTTATTTAAAATATTATGGAATTGGCTTTTTGGTTTTTTGTTTTGTTTTGAGTGTGGAACTCAACTGGGGGTCTCTCAAATGTGAACTTTGTAGATGACAATGTCATATTCCAGTGTCAGGAGACAGATGGGCTGACCAACTCCAGTAGCTTGCACAGCTGCAGGGTGCTGAGACCATGGATGCCAGCTTCCCTGCTTGCAGGCATGGGGGAGGGAACCCTTCTTCATGAATGCCATGGAGGCACTTTGACAAAGAAGCCTCATTTCAGCTCCAAATGCATAATTTGGGGTGGGGAAATGAAATTTACATTCTATGGCTTCTAATGTCTTTCTGGAACTACCTTGATTAGTGAGTCCCTGCTGGAGGCCTGAAGACTGTGTCTTTGGCTTAATTTTCAAGTGTTTCTAACTGAATCTCCCAGTCTAACAGGAGAGTTATCATAGCATCAGGGATGTGGTACTAGAAATGTCCTTGGGGTTCGAGGAAGGGGATCCTGAGAACACTTTCTCAGTCCTTGCCATCCTTCATGTCTGTCTGTGGGTTATTGTGCTGTTTCTTGAGCTCTGCTCTTTGCAGAGAAATCACAGTCCAGGTATCAAGTTGGAGTATGACAGGATCAAGAGTCTCCTAGGTTTTTTGTTTGTTTTGAGACAGGGTCTTGTTTTTAAGTAGTCTAGATGCATGGGGCGATGGAAAAGTCAATGAGCCAGTGCTGGAAGCCCCCATCCTCTGTCTCCAATAAGATGAAGGGAGGTACTCCCATCAGGGGTTCTGCCAGAGCCCCACACAATGCAAAGGAACAACTGTCTTTCCCTCCTCCTGCCCATAATGTATGCTGAGTGGGAAGTGCCGCCCACCTGCCGTTCCTTGTTGTCATCCAGTGCACCTGATGGGACACTTCTCTCACTGCCATATGCTCTTCAGAACAGAGGAACAGGGGTAAAGAGCCTATATCTGGGGCTGGCATTTTCTTTTCTGATATAGAATGTCCTTTTGTATGCTATGGATATGTGTTGCTTTTATTGGTTTCTGAATAAAGCTGTTTTGGCCTATGTCAGGGCAGAACATAGCTAGGCAGGAAGTCGAAACAGAGTTACAGAGAGAAAGAAGGTGGAGTCAGTGAGAAGTCATGTAGCTGCTGAAAGAGTAAGATGTCAGAACATTACCAGTAAGTCACAGCCTCATGGAGATACACAGATCAGTAAAAATGGGTTAATTTAATTGTGAGAGCTAGTCAATATTATGCCTGAGCTATTGGTCAAACAATTATAATTAATAATAAGCCTCTGCTTATTCAGGAGCTGGCGGGTGAAGGAGAAACCTCCATTTACACTGTTTTTATTGGTTTGTTTGGTTTGGTCTGGTTTGTAGGGACAGGGTTTCTCTGTGTAGCCCTGGCTCTCCTAAAACTTGCTCTATAGACCAGGCTGGCCTTGAACTCAGAGATCCACCTGCCTCTGTCTCCTGAGTGCTGGGACTGAAGGCATGGGCCACCATGCCTGGCTGGAGGCTAACTTTGAAAGCAAAGACCAAGTTGGAATTTCAAAGACTCAAACACAAATTCTCAGTAAGTCTCCAGCACTATCAGCTGCCTTCTCTCGAGACATTAGCCCATATCTCTTGCTTTATTTCCTTTTTTTATTTTTTTTTTTTGCTTTATTTCCTTCTTAATTGCTCTCACTCTCTCTTTGAGACAAGCTCTCATGCAGCCCAGGTTGTCCTCAAACTCACTATGTAGCCAAGAATGGCTTCAAATTCAGATCCTCCTGTGTCTTCCTCCTAAGAGCTGGGGTCACCAAAGTCCATGACAATGCCTGGCACATCCATGGCTAGGGATCCAACCCAGGCTTCAACAGCTCTTCCTCATCTCTCATTTTCACAGGGAACAGTTTTAGAACATGCAGAGCCAAACCAGGGCAGGCCACCCTGCTCCCTCAACACAAAGCCATTCTATGCCTGCCCAGGCTTCCCCAAAGCCCATGGGCTTAGTGAGTAATACTAGGGACAGCTGTTAACACCCCATAACTTCAAAGAACTTACTTGTATCTTACCCTAATCTCAACATCTCAAGTGTTTGTGCTCTACCTGCATGAAATGGACAGAAAAATGTGTTTGGGGTAGGGACCTATTGTAGTCTCATATAGACAGTTCTCAACTTATATCCCAGTAAATCCACTGGAAGTTGAAAATATACTAAATCAAAAAGCACTTAATTAGCCAGGAGTGTTGAGGCATGCCTGTAACACTGGTACTTCAAAGGCTGAAGCAGGAAGATTGGGAGTCCAAAGCCAGCCTAGGCTACATGGTGAGTCTGAGGTAAGCCTAGGCTACATAGTGAGCTAACTCAAGACACATAAATACATTTCACATGTTCCACCCATCAAATATCACAGTCTTACCTAGCCTCCCTATGGAGTTCATGATGGATACTACCTATGCTTGAGCAAATCCATCCAATACAAATCCTCCTGCAGAACAAAGTGTTTAGTGTACTAATATTGTAATAGTTAGACATGGAATGAGTTCAACATGGAGTGAGGTTCAACTTTAATCACCATTGGGATGACTATGACCTTTGGAGGAAGGGCCCAATTTGTAAGAAGTGACAAGGACCAGTGTGAAGTCCCTGTGCCTGAACCATAGTGGCTCTGTAAGAGGGATGGTAACCAGTAGACACACACACACACACACACACACACACACACACACACACACACACACACACACACACCCTTTTAAAAACAATTTTGCCTTCTTACCCATCCATAAAATAAGTTTCTAAAAATCAGATCAATGAGCAACTGCCAGTCTAAAGCAACACATGAGATGAATTTTCAGGAGTGTGTGTGTACACAAACACACACAAGTGTATGCACACAGAGAACTGGCCAAAAACTCAGTCCTCCTGAGGACACTGACAGCAGCCTACCTATCTTCTTGTTGCGTTCCTCTCCACGGCTGTGCGCAATGATTGGCGAGTAGATGAAGGGGCTCTTGGTGGACATGGTCTGCCCCAGCAAGCTTTTCACCTTCTGTGGCCGGAGGCTGGTGGGGAGACTCAGCAGCTTCACACACCTATCATTGCAAACAGAGTGCAAGCACTTGCCATTAGGACACTCACTCCAGACCACATATAAAAAAGTGTTGACCTGCTGCTGCCATGTGTTGTAGAGATCCTACAACTTGGGTCTGTGGGTCAGGTTCCTTCACGTGCTCCAGCAGATCATAGATGAGGTGGATATTGGGGCAGGCCAAGTCATAATCTTGGTTCTGGGCCTGGGAGGGTGTAGGATTAATCCACAAGCCTGTTCTCCCAACCACACCAATGACTCTTTGCAACAAACACAAGTAAAGATATAAGGACAAAGGGGTTTACTACGTGACTCACTGTGCAACATTGCAGCTTCCATGACAAGATTCTTAATTTTTCCCTTTTCTCTTAAATTTCCTTTTATTTGGGGGGAGGGGTGCAGAGGCAGAGGGCAGATGCAAAGGGATGGGGAAATGAATGGGATAAAGATAATAAAAGATGTAAGAAACACATATAATAAAGAAAGTTTTTAAAAAATAAAGATGAAGGGAAGAGCTCTCACTCCACAGGACCAGGCAGCAGAATAAGCATGCCCACCCAGCAGGCCAGGAAAATGAAGTCCCACCCTCCCAGGCTGGGAAACAGTCCAGCTTTCTGTCACCTTCTCCAACACAAAGGTTCCTGTAGTGATATATTATTTATGATTTATTAAAGCTTGACTGAAGATTCAGAAAAGCAAAGTCAGCCTCAAGCTATAGAGATCAGGCAGTGGTGATACACACTTTTAATCCCAGTAGCCAGAAGCTAGGAGGTGGTAGTACACACCTTTAATCCTATGACTCAGGATTAAGATGCAGACAGGTCTCTGTGGGTCCAAGACTATCCAGATCTACACAAGATTGAATCAGTCTAAAAGAGAATTACAACTTACACCTTTAATCCCAGCACTAAAGGGGTATAAAAGACAGGAGGAAGGATTCAGTAGGAGGCGTTCATTCTCCAGCTACACTGACAATAAAGGTATTCAGTCTCCAGCCACACTGAAGAGAGGTTACAGTCTAAGGGTTGGTGAGAGCTCATGGAGACAGGATCAGCCCATTCAGCCTGAGGCAGACGAAAGAAGCCAGTGGCCAGCTGCTTTGCTTTTCTGATATTCAGCTTGAAGTTTGAACCCCAGTATGAGTCACTGGGTCATTTTTTATGTGTTACAGGTTCCTTCTACAAAATGAAGAACTGGTCAGGCCTTGCCTGTAGGACTGAGGTGAGAATGGAGCTCCAGCTTCCTGCTCAGGGCCCACTCTCTGCTGTTTCTTTCCAACAGGTCTGCCCACATCAAGGAGAAGCCAGAGCCTATCCACAGGATCAGAAGACACCATGGAGGAGGTGCACACACCATGCTCATGGTCATGTGTCAAAGGCAGTAAAGATAACTTTAGAAGCACCAAAGTGAGGCAATGTTGCATTAAGGAAAGAAAACTCAATGGTCTTCCTTAGATTAATTTGACTAAGAATGAGTATGAGTTTTAATTCTCCACTTTCCCCCATGTTTTCTGTCATCTGGAGTCTGTCTGGTGTGTGTGTTTGATCTGCCCCTATTGCCTGCATCCCTAACAAAGTTCTTTGCTCCAAATTTATTGGACAGCACAAGGAGTGTCACATGGGGAAGGAATGAGAGAATACTTTACAGAAATATTCAGCAGGGTTTCGTTAAAAAAAGAAATGATTGCCTCCAACTGACTCCAGTCACACAGGCTACGGAGTTAAACCCTCGAAGCTTTCAATATGCACAGTAGATATTTGTTGAGCAGGGTTGTTAATGACCTGTTGTCTGTTTTCAACAGATGATTACCACAACATACACATATAATGCTCTGAGTCAGAAGCATGGAACATAACTTAAGATTAAAGTTGTGCATTCCCTTGTGTTGTAAAGTTTGACTACATAGGAAATCCAAAGCAAGTAATGTTGGTTACTACAGTGCTCTCTTAAAGGCAGGTTAAACAGCCAGGCTGAGTACACATCGGGACAGCAGTCTTAAGTGTCCTCAAGGAGTATTATTAACTCAGCTGTGAAGTCAAGCAAAAGTTCCAGTCTCTTTGAATAAAAAAGATGCTTTCATAAAAATGCACTGCCCGTCATGCTCAAGGTCATCCGACTCAAGTACAAATGGGTACCTGCTGGAAGCTGAGTACATGTAGTCTGTGTGCTACCGCTCCTATCACCATTTCAAACACCTCAAAAGTGCCTTCACACCAAGTGCCACTACTATTTCCCCACTATCGACCAGGAACGGACAAGAAAGACCAAATGTAGCCCATAGACCCACGAGAAACACCAGCTCTAAACAACAGCACTGTGAGGCTTCTGGGACCAGACTGGCCTGGTGACTAAGATCTGGCAGACCCACGAGAAACACCAGCAACAGCACTGTGAGGCTTCTGGGACCAGACTGGCCTGGTGACTAAGATCTGGAACACCCTAGGCCAGACAGAACAGACAAGGATGAGAGAGACCCAGGTATTCCTATCCTACCTCCTAGCTTCTGAGAGCTGGAAGGGAAGGTCACATATGTAGCACCACTCAAGGGCTAAGAAGAAGCCACATAGCTCTGTGTGGAAGCAATATATCAGCCTCCTGGTACCCTACATGGCGAAGCCAGATGCTGAGGAGACCAAGAACAAGACAGCACGACCTGGGTCACCAAGCACACATAGCAGGCAATCATGGTGCCTAGGACACCACCTACTCAACCAGGTTGAGTGAATGGGGCACACTGTGCTGCATGCAATAAGTCATTGCAAGGTCTCGGGCACAACCCAACCCACACTGACTAATAAGAACTACTGTACAGAGCTGATCTCACTTGGAAGGGATGGACTCCTAGACCAGTGGTTCTCAACCTTCCTACTGCTGTGACTTTAATACAGTTCCTCATGTTGTGGTGACGCCCAAACATAAAGTTATTTCATTGCTACTTCATAACTGTAGTTTTGCTACTACAGTGAATCATAATGTAAATATCTGATATGCAGGATGTCTGATATTCAACCTCAAGGGCATCACAACCCACAGGTTGGGAACCACTGTCCTAGAGAATCCAGCCTACCCTATGCCAAGAGCTCCTATAGTACTTAGCACCCAGGCCCTGACAGGGTTCAGGTCACATGCAAGGGATACGTCCACCACCCACAATAACCCATGTGTCGACAGTATTAGAAAATGAGGTTTACTCTCTCGGAGTCCTTCTCTGAATGCACTCCCCCATCACACTGTCAATCTGGTACCAGAATGGCCTCACAGTTATGTTTTGATTCGAGCTGTGAGCTGGCTTTGTTCCAAAGTCTTGTCCAGCACTTGATCCCATTGCTCTCAGTAAATGCAGTAAATACGCTCCCAAAAGCTGAACTTCAGACTCAGTGTGCAAATCTTTTGAAGCTGACCACTGTGGTGACGATTCATTGCTGACTGTGGGAACCTGTTCTTCATGTGCTCTCCCAACACCACCACAAGAACCCTGCCTGAGGCTAGGGCCCCTGTCAGACTGAGATTCACCTTGAAGTTGACAGAAAGACCCTCATTACAATCTGAAGGACCTACCATTGGGACAACACACACTGATGGCTTCACTCAGCTTTTGCTTATAAAGTCAGCAAAGGATAGCTACTCTGCTAATACATGTCACTAGAAGGATGTTTCCTCTGGTCCCCAGTTTTCCCAGGGAGGGATGCTCCCTTGAAAGACAGAGCCAACCTGACTCCACCCTCCTGCACCACCCACCTGGAGAGGGGGGAATTGAGAACAGGAGCCTGTATAGACTTCTTGATCTAGCTCCCAGGGTGGTCTACATGCTACAGACAGTGTATATTCTGTATCGCTTTGCACATGCTAACCTAGGCCCTCCTGTGAAAGAGGCTTGCAGCTAGGCACAGCTCACACACCTGCCTCACTTGAGACATGCCTGACACTGTTTTTCATTTGCCTGATACAAGCCAAGCATTCCTGTGAATTCTGAATGTAGGTGGGAAGAAGGGAGTGGCCCACAGATCTCTTGCAGGGCATTGTGGGACTGCTTGAGGTAACGTCATGGAACTCGGTGCACACAGTAGGTCATGGAACCCGGTGCACACAGTAGGTCAGCAAAACCTTTTCTCCTTTCCATCTTAAGACAATGATTATTTGCCAACAGACAATTGCTACTGATGCAAAATGGCAGTGTTGGACAGAAGTAAGAGATGCTATCTCAAGGTTGGTTTTAACTACTGTTGGATGCTAAACTGGGCAGAATGGCCAAGACTGTGCACCTGAGGGTAGGGCAACTCAAGGCTCTCAGAACAAGAAACACTTTCTGTGTCATGCCACAATCTCACTGGAAAAGGGGTGAGGATGACAATTCTGAGAAACCCTCCATCAAACAGACAATGGCTGGATATAGCATATGTCCAAGAATTCTGAGGACACAGCCAGCCAGAAAAATAACCTGTAACTCATTACAGTATACACTCATGACTCAACATTTTTCTATCAAATGTCATTTTATAAAGTGTGTCCCCTAGAAAAAGCATCCTTCCAGGCACCTGACCTAAAGCCCTATCATTCATTCAGCCTGAATCTCTGCTGAACAAGGGATATTGGATCTGGCAGACGAAGCTGCTGTGACTAAAGAGAATCTGAGGGACCAAGGGTCCAGGGTGGGATTGCCTCAATATATTCCATTTGGGCATAACATTTCAGAATCCTGAGTCTTCCTGGCATCCTGTGGCTAACAGGGATCAAGCTGGGCTACAGTGGAATGCTAACTAGGGCAGTGGCTGCAAACAAGCCACTTGAGAAGGATGGCATGGGAACTAAAGGAGCCCATCCTCCCTTGTCTTCTCATTCTCCACCCTGTGTCTAGGGGAAACAGGTCAGCTCTCATATAGCTTCTGGACCATGTTCCGGTTCAAAGCTCAAGTTCAAGATTCCCAAGTCACTCTTGTGGGAGGGCAGGTTTCTGTCAGTGTAGATGCCACTATCAGCTAATTCAGGAAGATAGCGGTCATTGGA